ATCAAGACTTCTTCATGTAGAATGATATTATTATTTCTTTGTGTTCTGAATTCAATAATATGATTGACATAATAATAAAATGAGGGATTTTTATGGTAAATACGCGTTACGACCTATATATGCATCTTCAAAAACAATGAATAATATATTTACGGGATAGATATTGTACAGTTTTGATCATCATATTTTAATAAAATATTTCGGCATCTAGAATTGTTTTCTGTTGAATTTCTAAGGAAAATATCATTACTATCTTTTAAAGAGATGAATGTCCCATTCAAAAATGTACAGTATACACCAAATTTACCTGACCATGGTTTAAGTACTCGAATAATTATGCCTAAAATTAGTATACAAAGCATAAATAAAATGAATATAATACGTGACAAGACGACTTTTCTTAACTGAGTAGAAAGCATTTTTTTTTGTATTTGGACTCAAATCATTGTTTTGGAGGTTAAAACCATCTGCCAAGCTTGTTCCTGCTTCTGTCACACCTGGAAGAGAATTATTATATTATATTGTCTTTTTGATATGTAAAATAGGACTTAAATAGGACTTAATAATGGACTCTACACTAATAAAATAACATGCTTTAATATAAATTCGGATATTATAATTCAAGTAAAAGGATTTACTATTAAGTGATTTACCTAATAACTTACACATTTTAAGTTATGCTAATAAATTTGACAATGTCATTAATACTCTTTCATTGATATCATTAGATATATGATATTTTCTTGCAGTGAACAGTAACTTTTTAGGGATCTAATCATGATTTCTGTTCACTATCCTAAATTTCATGTTTAACAAACCTTTAAACATTTTGAAATCATGAATCGATCAATGTTAGAACACCTTTAAACCTCCGGAATAGAAGTCACCATTACTAATAAGTTATCGTATATTAATAACTGAATGTCACTAAAACTCATTATAACATCTGTGTGATACAAACAACTTTTGGAAATATAATGCTCTTAGAAATGTATCTTTTAGGATAAATAATTAGTCACTAAAGCAAACTAGTCTATACAATTCTTGCGATACAGAATGGGGTAAGTAATTTTTAATTACAACAGAATAACTGTTCAATCCTACTATTCGTAAAATAACAACTTTAAAGTAAAAAATCTTAAACTTGTTACTTGGATGCCAATTAAATTTATCTTTCGGATTATTCTTGTCGAAATTGTGGCTGTAAAGATTCACAATCAACTGTGAATTGTCGCTTTTAATATAACTTGTGAAGAATTTTGATCAACAATGTTTTTATTGTCATGATTATTTCTTATTTGGTTGATATGCATTACAAATCTTAATAAAATAATCATCAGAATTGTACATAATCTTATTAAAACTATTTAGGAATTTACGGAGATAAGCTTTCAGTTATTGGAAAATCATTAACAGAATATGAATATCGTAACATGTGTATGATTTTTCGTCACAGATGTAAATTAAATTTAATTATTGAATCTACATATTTTAACTTCAGTGATAAATTTCGACCACTTTTCTTAATGATATTTAAGTACCAGAGTATATTCATATGATTCGTTTATGATTAAAAATTTTATCCATGTAATAGTACTGTGGCAACGAACAGTGGTACAACAAAGTCAATGAAGAATTACGATACCACATAGTATCGTTTCATATTACCGCTTGATTTATTAGAAGATCTACAGGCTTCTTTTCATTACAAATAATAAGAGTCTTATCAATTACAGTAAGCGACAGACACCAAACAACGATTATTAATAATCACAAAATACTCATATTAACTTCAGTATATGCTGAACAATAAAGCTTTAATCAATTAATTTTTTACGTTGATGAAAAGTGAATCTAACAAATAACTCAAATACATGTTTACGTCATATATGAACAACTGGATGGAGTTTTTAATCTCTGTTAGTGTGAATCTTGTTTATTTTCGGACAAATATAGCATCTGTAAATATACACTATTATATGGATCGTCATAATGTTATCTAAAGGTTAGTGATAGGTTCATTTACAATTTTTGGGATATAATAGATTACGAATTGCTATTAATTTCAACACAAAAACAGAGTCTCTACATGATGATGTTTTAAAAACAGTTAGGTAAAACAGTTAATAGAAACTGACCGGTCTACATCACATTTCAAAAATTTCGTGATAAAATCCTGTTTATACTGTCGTGAAATGGAATATGCTACTTAATAGCTGAGTCGAAATTTTAAACAAATCAGGAAACCTACTTTCATGAAATGAAATGGTATTTCGGATGTTTGTTTGCTCCGTTTCATCTAAGCATTCACCTTTGATTGATGAGGGTTTAGTATCCGTTGACTGTTGAACTTCTTCAGTTGTTTGGTTTGTACTTCTTTCTTGCAGCTGATCATCGTTTATTAATAATTGTTCTGTTCTTTCAATTGCCTGGATTTTGAACAAAGGTTGTGAAATATAAAGATATATCTTATTAATAAACTAAATTGTACCATATAACGCGATATATTACAGATTATCTTTAATTACGAAGTTAAATGTTCACTCGAGACCGAAGGTTCTTGATTCGATTCCCTGTGGTGGGGTCATGGAAGCTCATAACTGAGAAGTCGTATACTAAGAGTTCAGCTAAGGTAGGTTCGTGATTTTCAACTATTTCTTGACAGCAAACGAAGAAAAGTGTGTACATGCTGTAAAAAAAGAGAACTGTTAACTTACTAAACAAATAGGCTTTTCATCAGCTATGAACTTGACAAAAATGTCATATCTGAAGATGAATGACATAACAACTCATTATCACATGACGAATAAACAAATAAGCTGGACTTATTCTATTTCGTAACAAAACTTTTTAAAACTTGCCTATCTATAAATGTTTTCAAAATACGTTAATCGACTTCCATTTGTCAAGCATTGCTTTTTGTGATAAGACATATTTACTCAATCTCTTCGCCTTATTGCTCCTGCAGATTAGTTGTTATTGAGACCACATTGTACAGCTCTTGAATTTTGTGTGGAAATTAGAGTGCGATTAAGTTTCGGAATCACCTTTCTGACGCTTGCTTATCATATATGGATGTTTTCAATGCAGTTGATTCCCGCAAATCCTCTAAAAAGACTATTTGGTGTTGTTGATAAACGTTTAATAATAGAATGATTTGATCATAGATTTACTTACTAGCTGAACTTGTTTCTCCCAATTAATGCGCTGACAAGTTATAAGATAAATATCACCTTCGAAAATAGTTCTAACTGTCATACCTGCCTATAATCCTATTGATAAAAAGTAAATCCACATAAGGAATAGTCTTCACACTAAGAAAATAAATGCTCTTATAGGTAACGTTCACAGTTAGTTGGTCTTTGTAATAATATCATACGTCATTTGATCTGTTGTCGTATTTCTGTACTATTACATAACACGGGCCACTGGTTAATAAATAGTTTTTTAGAGTTCGTTGAAATGAATTGTTAAACCATCTAAAGAGTTTGTTCAAACATCGCCTATAAGTGGTGCAATTAATTTACAGACAAATAATTCTTACCTTAGAAGATATCACTTGTTTTAATGCAAAACTTATTTTATTTTATACAATGATGTATCCACTGACTAATATATTGAAAATAAGTATAATTCATTTAAGTTTGCTCACTAACCGAACACATTAACTCAGTGAAATAATTAGCTATCTATGACTTACATAGTGGTAGTTCCAGAAATTAAATATCCACGAATGGTTTACTCTTTTCTGTGTTCACTTTTGATGACAATGAAGAGATTTTAGTACTGTTTCTCTAGAGGATTTTCGACAGACTACAACTGCTGGTTTGTCTTTTGCTTATCTTCTGTCGAATTAGAATCACTTAGATTGGTTGAAGTTACTATACTGACTAAGTAGTCTATTATCTTATAATCGTAAAGACATAATTTTAGTAAAATAATATCAGTAATAATAATAATAGTTCTTGTGAAATTACTCGTAAACTAAATTTCTAAATTAAAATCGAAAATTGCATCCAAATTACCTTCCAAACCGTAGCCACCACCATAAACAAGGCCTAAACTGATAGGAGAACTTATTAAATACAAGCTAACAAAACAAACAATTGCACCGAATAGTTGCCAGTCCAGCTCCACGAATGGCACCTCCACAAACACCCTATGGAAGTAAATGAACAAAGGAATTTTATCTAATGGTTATGCCTGAACTTTAATTTCATTGACTGACTGGATTTATTTGACGTCAATAGCCCACTGCTACGTTGTTTGACTTGACAGACACAACTTCACTCTAATTAGTTGAAATTGATCAATAGATACAAATCGCAGAACCTATTAGTTCATACATATGACTTTTGACAGTTCTTTAATTATTACAATGTGCGATAAACCGATCACACCCATATATTTACATCGTATTTGATTAATATTCAAAAAACCTTAAAAACTAACACAGAACTGGTTTTCTATGATAAAAATCTGTAAAATTCATTTTCTTTAAATATTTTATATTTAATGGCCTTGATGACACTACATGAATTGCCCCTAATTTAGTGCCAGCATTACATTCAATCGATACATTTGAATCGATAATCTCTTTACTTTAATCCTGTAAACTGATATGAACTAACTTAGACAATTATCTGTGTAAATTCTAGCCCATAGAGTGATGACGTAATTCCACACATTAATATGTATTTCAGATCAGCTACAAATTTAGGTAACTTATGTTGAATGGATCGATTCAAATGAATCGTAATCATACTTGACTTTATCCACAGGTAGGGATCATATGATCCTTGTTTTAAAATTATCTGTGGTTAGATTGTTGAGACAAAGGCCTATGTTGATATTTTTTCAGACAATGCCTGACAGTAAACAGTTACATATTCACGTTTCAGAAACAATGATAACCAATGTTTATAATGTTAATTATTAGCCTGGGAATCACAAGGTGATTCAGTCCTAGCTGAATGTCAGTAAACAATGAAAACGATTTATGCATGACATCGAAAATTCCCATATTGTATAGTCGAACAAAACATATAAACAAATAATTAGATAATTACCAGCCTTTACTCTGATATTCAATATTATTTGGTATTGCATATATGAAATTATTAGACCAGTTAAAGAACCTTGGTATTGTTCTGATTTATGCATGATGCAAGATAGTAACATCCTCACGAGACAGTACGACACCTGTTTGTCAATAAATATCAGGTGATTATTGAGTACAATTCGTCTCTTGTGTCTCATGAAATGTGGTGATGTGAAATGGAAATAGAACTTTATTGTTAGTGTAAGGATAGCGAGGAGCTAAAGTAAATAGCGAATCTAGTAATAGGTTATGTTACTTTTCTTAGCTGATAGAAAACTAGTCTGATAGTTTTCAAATCGAATTCTTCTGGGCTTGATTTGTGAAATCTTAACCCCTATCCAATGATTAGTTCTTAATAATCTTGTTCTATGCATTAATGTTTTTTCAAGAGCACTCAAGATATTGCTGTTTAGATTTTTTCAGGTGACATAGGTTATTAGTGAAATCAGTCAATATTTATCCGGTAAAGTTGACTATGAACAGAATAAAACTTCACCGACATGCTTTCATTTTCTTCCACAGTACAGATTCTAACTAACTAATAGCGAAATGGGCTTCCAAGAGCATTGTAAACTTGCCAGTAAAATAAGTCGCTGGAGTTTCAGAACTATAAGCTAATGAATCACAGAGACTATCATTCAATCATATGAATATGAATATTCAGTTATTTGAAAATAGTTTGCAATGAACAAAAGAATAGCAAAGATAACTTTCTATATTTTATGTGAATCACATTAGAAAGAAAATTTAATTATTTAAATCTTACCACAGTTCCATCAAATATTTGAAATGTAGCAATTAATGGCAATAGTTTAGCAGATAATTCAATGACATCTCTTGAGAAAAAATGAAGAAAATTAAAGATCAAATAATTACAATTGGATTTTTTTTTAAAAATGGACATGAAGCTATAAATCAATATTTCATCATGAAAGTGCCAATTCTGTTAAGATCAAATACCGTATGATTATTACGGTGTTTTATGTTTTCATTTGAATTGCTTTATTTGTTGTCTACATAATAAATACTATATAATGGGGAGACACTGTAGTGCCTCCACATATATTTGAATTCACTTACATTAAATTTTGTCAAGTCTTTCGATTAATTTATTTAACCAAGCCATTTGTACAACAGTAACTTATATGTACCGTGGGCTATTATTGTCTAGTTTGTATGAGCTTGTACGACTGGGCACTGCTTACGTGCAAATTCATCCGATTCGCTTTAATATTAATTTCTTAAATACCTCGATGACTCAGATATCTTCCCATGTATATATACGAACATTTTATTCTTATTAATTCATTCGTACATTCGCACATTTGCCCATTCGCTCGCTAGTGTGTTTGTCCGGTCTGCTTGTGGTCTGCTATCCCATATTTCTGGTGTGCCAAAATAAACGTATTCAAAACTTCGAGTTCACCTTCTGATTTATAACCGTCAGACGCTATTTAGTAACGATTGTCTGAACAAGCTAATTACGAAGCTTAAGAACACTTCGAAATTGGCTACCACAAGACCAAACAATAAGATTGTTGCATTTTATTTTTAAATTATTACATCCCAGTATTTACATTCTATTTCAGTCAAATCTAGAATACTATTCGAATTATTTAATATCCATTAAAGAAATGTAGAAGATTTAGGTATTATGAAGCTATCATTTGAGTTTTTTTAACTTAGCACACGATCACAATGTTTAGAATAAAGGTTGTATTTGAAGTCCAATATTTAAAAGATAACTGAACATATAGATAGAAATGTGCAAACAAATTTAGAAATTACATAAAATGAAGTTTTTGTTAATTAGATGCAGAGAAACATTTTACATTTGGTGATTTCAGTTAAAATAACTAATTATGTTATAATATCTTTATGTGGAAGGTTGAGGTCTATTGGTTATTCCTCGGTGATTTTAAGTTGTGGTATATATATATATATATATATATATATATTATATATATATATATATATATAATTGGTCTTCGTTAATTTAATCCCTTCTGTCAATCACTTTGCATTATATCATATATCATTGTTAAACTTTATTACATATGTGTTTATAAGCAGCTAATGAGAAACCTCGAAATACAATGAATTCATATTATTCCATCTCAAATATTTTTCCGAAGTTGTAAAATTTCAGTATGGTTATATTCACATACTGCTAGAAACTATTTAATCGCCCACACAACTTGAGTTCGATGACTTTTTTCTGAATAAACGAATGGGGAAATTGCTTCAGTACCATTCCTCTCGAATGATAAGTTCCACGGTGCAAATGTTTGTAGAAAATTATAAATCTATTAGTAGTAGCAAGTAAGAGAATGGTTATGCGAAAGGTGTAGGTAGTCTAACAAATAAATATTTAGTCGTTGGATCCGAGTGATTTGATTGTGAAAACAATAATTCAGCCTTCTATTGCCGTCAGTTATAACCTAATCGCAAATCATTAATCCCTCTTTTGATTTAATCTGTCAGTCGTTTTTTAAAATCAATTATTTCTTGAAATTGTGTTTACTTGTTTCAAATTAATATTCTTTTCGGAAAAAAAAGATTTTCAATTAAATTTTTCTGATAGGCTAGGAATGAATTATCTTTCTTTTTCAATTGTTGTTATGACTATTTTGAACGATATCTCAACTAAAAGCATAGTTTTAAGTTCTACTATATCACTGCCTACTTCAGTCTTTAGTAAAAAATCAACTTACTTTTCAGAAGTGAAAATCATTGGAATCTTCCATCTCAATAAGCATAAAGTTAGAATGAAGGCAATCGAAGACATCCCTGTACAAATAATAGAAGAAAATGTTTACCATTCATGTAGGTATATTTAGTCAATAAATTAGTAATTAAAGGAAACTAAAAATGTTTACAAGTGTTAACTCGGTCACAGCGTAGATAATATCTGAACAAAACTAATTACTTTTGGGGATGTTAGATCCCAATAACTCGCTTGATAAATGCCTTATTTTGGATTCCACGTTTGCGAGCATTGGCTGAATCCGTTGACCTTGGAGATTTCATTTCCCACCAGGGAAATCCCTTGGCTGCGATTGGCTGCTGCTTATTTAGTGTGCTATTTTTGTGACTGTCCCAAGGACGTTTCTATGATGTATAAATAAACGAGATTTTGTGTGCTTGATTGCATTGTGCCTGCTGGGTGTTTGTAGAATATACTTTCTACGCTATGCCAAAACTTCTCTTTGGCTGTTTCGGATCAAGGTAGCCTACCTGGACTCTGGTTCATTGTCTCGTTCGCGTTTATCGACTAAGGTGAACTCGTAACAGATCAAGCATACCTAGTGACGAACCAAACAATTACAATAAAAATTTATTTCACAATAGATCTTTCAATATACAGAGCATATTTGTAAATTAATCTTGATTTTGTAGAGTATATTTAAAGTATTATCGGTTAATAATTTACGCTTGCTCAAGTGGTGACGAAAGCTTGAACAATCTCACTGGGTTACATATTTAACCAGTTTGCTTTCAACATTAAATATTTTTAAAATTGTACATTTATAACATGTGTTGGAAAATATTTTTATTTTATTGTTGTTGTGATTGCAGCTTTAATCTTCTTCTTCTTCTTTATTACCATCAACATTTCATGGCTTTACACTTATTGTTGAAAGTTTAATGAATAATTTATACATGATGAATTAGTTTTGATGAGTCTCGCTGCAACTTAACTTCTCAAGATGAATACTTCCAAATTAATTTTTTGCTTCTATAAATTGCTGTTAATATCAATGGAATTTAGCTTAGGAAAATTAAAATTCAATCAAACTATTTTATTTTTGTTTAACTCAATTTTAATTCGAAATAGTCATCTTATGAAATATTTCAACAAGCATAGTCAAGCAACGTGATCCGACTGATAAAATTCATTTCAATCTACTTTCATTAACTTTTGAACTACAGAATGTCTTTAAAGATGTACGAAAGAAGTTAATTTATTAATTTCAAAATGAAGAAACAAACAGTTTAGTTAAGTTCACCTAATCCATTCTCTGCTTCTGGAAACTGAGCTAGCAGACATGGAGAATTTAATTGCTGATCATGTAAAAATATTTCAGAAACGCCTTCTAATCAAAAGAGCTACGGAATGCTTTCTCTAGTAGGCGGCTTATTCAAGAAAGCTTCGAGAATAATGTGCAGTTTAGAGGCATCTCATTCTGGATTTATGAATCTACTTACTCTTTTGAAACAAAGTACACTGATCACATTTGGCTGGCACTTTTTCAACAAATATCTGAGCACTTCCCTTCATGGCTGTTTAACTGGAAATGCAGGTCCATTGAGAATTCAGTCCTCAAACAAGTGGTCAACTCTAGTCATGTACCGTAATAGGAATCATAATTCGAGATTATTTTAAGATTCAAAAAACTAACCTAAAGAAGGTTTGGATTAGTATTTTGTTCACAGCTGAAACCATAATAATTCACACCCAATTACATATAACGAGTCCCTCATTTTCAATGTATTTAACTGTCGTCCTGAATGTACAGGTGGTTAATATTATTCATTCGTTCTTTTAACTCTTTTATACTTAATAAGTTAACAGTTATCCCCTACATTACTTCTAAAAATTACTTTTTCTTTTAACCAAAAGACTATTACACAATCTTTGAGAACTTTGTTAAGCGTTGCAACACCTTTCCATTTTATTCTTCGCTACTTTATGTAAAATTAGCCTTGAAAATTATTGTGAAGCTGTGGTAACTGGCGAAATGGAAAAAAGCTTGTTATTCCGAATAAAACAAACCTACCATCCAGAGTTACCAATATAATTATTTGAACCTATCGAAATTAGTGAACTCTCGTCTTCCTTGTATAACTGAAACGTTTACTATACACGTGGAGAAACCAGAAGAATGTATGTGGAAAAATTAAGCAGTCACTTTTTCTTGTTCGTCTTGGTTACATTTCATTTTCAAAATTCTCTTAATTATGTTACGGGACACATTTTTACAACTATCGATTTTGCTCTAGTTTCTATGGCATTCTTGACAGATTATCAAGGTTTTAAGAATCATATTTGCAGTTTCTTAGTACAAATGAAAGTTTAGTGCTTTGATTTCTCAGCACTAGCTGTGATAAGTTGTAAGTGATATAAATAAACATCGTAGTTATAATTTATAAGAGTTGATCCCCAATAAGATGTTTCTTCATTGCATCGCTATCTTGAGTCATTTAATCTTTAGCAGACCGAAAAAAAGCGAATATCATAGCAGATCGATACCTTCCTTCATGTTTCCTACTGGGGAATAACAAAATCTGTCTTGACTTTTTCCAAAACTGAATACTTTTCATCTATGAGCATCATTCACTCAAGCATCTAGGACTTTAGTTACTCTGCACTCAAGTAACTAATTATCTCTTCTATCATTTCGCTTGGTTCCGGTTTCCAACATCACCGACTGCTTTTTAAAGTCTCATTTAAATTTTCAAAATGACAGTAACAACAATATAGTATTTTGAAAAAAAGTAGTCTCTAAAGCATAGTAAAGTATGTCATTAATGAAACACTGTTATTTACAGATTTTATCTATTTTTATTACTTACACAATGTTACAAGAGCTGTAGAAACAACTGACCGTGGTCCTAATGAGGAGCGGGCACCAAGAAATTGACCAACACGTATGCTTGCTGCTATACCAAATCCAAGTGGTAACTAAATGAAAAGGAAGTATAGGAAATACATATCATTACTTTGTAGAAACAGTACGTTTATTGGTTATCAAGTAACAAAGGCATATCAACATGCAAATCAAGATTTATTAAATGACGAAGTGGAGAGATACCCAGAGACCAGAAAATTTCAGGCGAATGTTTCGTCCTAATATGAAACTTCTCATTAATTCACTCCCATAAATGAACGAAATACTCATGAAGTACTGAATAGTTTTCAAAGGTTACCTTTCTACAGTCAGTTTGCGATTTAAAATTTCATCAAATCGAGCAGTTGTAATAGATATCCCATCATAAAAGAGTTATGTTCATCTATGTTAAAATATTGAAAGTTAAGCAACCAAATTTTTTTAAAAGTAATATAATACTATTTCACTTCACTCGAATGATGCAAAATAGATTGTTCGGTATGGTCCTTATTTTTTAAAACATGGTTTTTATAACTTCTGAGATGAAATGAAATTTAGAAATTTCATTCCATAAATCGTGTTTTTGTCTACAAATACAATAAATTTATGTGTAAAATGAGGAAAATTTTAATTGCAGATGGTTCTTCTCTTGAAAAACCTTTTAAAAACTCTATACCTAAACTTATTGGCTTCTTCTAAATGAAACTGTTTACATTCCAAATAATCTAAATCTTTTCAATCCAGAAAGTGTTGAACAATGAATTTTAATGCCTGTATAGTGACAGAATGACACATCACTAAAATCTCTTCATAAATGTTTTAACTGTTAGAAGGATGCCTTGAGAGATAGATACATGCTGAAAAATGTGTCTGGATTTTTTCGATAAATGAAAAGTAATCCATAACAAAAATTACTACAGCAAAAATTAATGTTACTGCTGATGATTTTCAGTACAGAAATATCAAATGATTTAAATAACATTTTCCATTCCAGCACGTGACATTATTTTAGTTAATGATACATTTCTGTTGTACTTTAGTGTCTTTGAAGATTAGTACAAAATTATTAAACTATATTTTATACCTTTGTGCAAATGATATTTTGCTGACACAGAAATGGATTATATGTATTATTTAGAACACCTAACATTGGAGCTGAATAAACTAAAATGATAATCTGTAACTGTGAATATTATGTAAATCAATTTATCCAAAGTCAAACTAAAAACATATTTTCTTCCATGATAACTAGAAGGTTATGTTTCTAAATTTTCATGAGTATTAATTATTTTAATCTTTGCTTATTGTTGCTTTTCATTTTTGGCCCAATAGGTTAAACTTATGAACGGACGGCACATAGTAATAGGTAGGCACATTGTTATACTAATAATTGTATGTCTGTGTTTAATGTAGAAAAAGTACAGGAGCATATTCTAAAAAGGAATGACCATTTAACGACAACTTATTATTTGAATTGGATAGAAAAGTATGGATATTAGTTACACGGAAAGACTTTTATCAATTCTATCTTTATGAGATTGTATACTGAATAGAAGAGAACACTTATCTACAACACATAACTTTATTACACATAAATTATCGATTTATATAAAATGAGTGAAGATTATCATAATATATTGACAAACTATGATTTAAGCCTACCAGCGTAAAACACATCGATTCAATGTTGAAGAGAATCGTCTGGGTAGCTAGTTCTCTTTCACCAAGTGTACCTGTTTAAATAATGATTTTAAAAAATTGGAGGATTTATTTCAAACAATTGTCGAAATGAAAGTGGATTGGTGAACGTAATTAATCAAATTAGTAAAATTCATATCGTGATCAAGGATAATTTTCATTGTACGCAAAATGCATACGAAATACAACAAGTTTGCATTTAATTTTAGTTATCAAAATAATACACTAACTAAGTCTTGTGTAGCAGAAGATTGTCGCAGTCTGTCTTTCTAATTCTCGGATTTTGGAGCGATTTTAAATTAGGTTGATAGTAAACGTACCATTTTTAATCTGATAAGCTTACGGTAATCGACGGAGTTCATTTGAAATTATGCAATCATTATGCGTAAAATTGTCATAAAGTATTCACAAATATTTAAACTTGCTAGTAACAAGAAATAATTCCAATAAAATTTCTTTTCATAGTGAATTATTATAGTTAATCATGTCACGAATAATAATAATCACTCTCATCAATGCAAATATGCGTTTTGTGCATAAACCTTTACCTAGATTGATTCTTGAAAAAGTGCCGTATCATATCGTTCAAAGATCTGATTCTAAATGGAAATTTGACTGAGTAAAGTCATTAAAATAAGCAACCACTGAAGTGTATTTCATTGTCATGAACGGCTTATACGTGATTACTTTTATGAAACACCAATATGCTTATTATTCATATAGAATAAGTTTATAATGTGTTCCAACCAAACAGATTGTTAGCAAATCCTTTTCTCCGCTTGATTAATTACTTAATGACATGGATCACCATATGCAGACCGGGTGTAGCATCTCGCGTTTTAAGCATGCTGAGAAAACTACCAAGTTTTAAGCATAAAATCCTTTACACTGTATAATGTATGCAAGCAGTAATCACGAAGAACCTATGGTAAAGTTACGTATTTCGTCAAGAATAACTAACAGTTTTATTAGTATTTCATCGAGTTACAATGGGTAGTTTCAGAAGGAGTATACTTCTAGATAGTGGCATTTATTTTTCCCAGGTTATGATATACATTGGTAAAAATATTCCTAGTAGTTCACCTGAAACTATACTGCCCATTTCAAAAACGATCCATTCCAAGGTAATCATGAGGACACCTGGCATAGCTAGTTTGAACCACCTTCCCCAGTCAAGCCACAGTTCATTTGTCCAACCTAAAATAAAATTATAAGAAAACTTGTGACATTTGAAGATCTAGAATTCAGAAATAAAAAATAAAGAACAGTCGACTAGCAGAGTGATATTTGAACAACTTGGGCTATAAAAAACTGGTTTTAATTGATTTAAAAAAGCCTGCAAATTATTATTTAGTTATTTGTCATAAGCAATAAAATAATCATTTCTAGGTAAATCAGTTTTCCTAATATTCTTACCGACATAAAAGGATTTTTAGGACATATTTTACATCTGTCGGCCAGCAAAACATAAATACTGTTTAAAGCTGTTACTTCACTGGAATTTATTTCAACGGAGGGAAATATATTTGATCTACAAAATACAGGAGGTCGGTTGTGTGGTTAACTGAGGTTGAGTGAATGGTTATTAAATACCCTAACGACTATCGAGTGACACAGTAACTAGTTAATAAAATACTTGTCTTATTATCTATCGACATTGCACACACAAAATATTTGACGAATGATATGTGATTGTTAGACATGTACTTGTAGGTTGTACACAAACTTACGAGATTTAGATCTGGATACCAGGCTAACTTATTGCTCACCATATCACTATTCTACCAAAATACATGTAAATACAATATTCCATTATTGCACCAGTTTATTAAGTCAAATTTAATACTTAAATTCGGACCGACTTATGACAGATATAAAAATTTGCTATTTCTTTGTACAGATCAAGTAAACGCGACACTTTAAAGAACAAAAGACACAAATTACCTTTCCATGTTAATCCTGATCTCTGCAGCATTATAATATATGGTAGATAGCAAATGCATTGAAATAAGTAAGCTGATGACTGAGAAATAGCTGATCCGCTAAGGGAAGAATAAAATAACAATAATAGATATGTCGAATGCTTTTAAAATTACATTAAAAGATTTACGTTTACACTGTTGGCGCAGGTTTTGTAGAAATATAAGAATTTACTGAAATGTATTTAAGCATATAACTTGGGACACTGCTTATTGTTTTAATCACGAATGTCTGAATAAAATGTTGGTTTCGTGTTGGTTTAAAAATCTTAATGTCACTGTTTCATGTTATAATCAGTTGATAGAAACTACGATAGTTTCTGCAGACTGATGTTTGTGCATAAAGTTATTATTAATCTGACTACATCAAAACAGTGTAAACGATTTCTTATGTGCTATCAAAACCTATTATTACCTAATACTTTTTAAAGTTATTACAATCTAAATGACTATTAATATATTGTTAACACTAGTAAGTTTTCAATCAATATTGAAAACCCAGAAAATGATGGCACTGGTTACTCCTCATTGACATATTAGTGTAAGAAGTTCTGTTCGATGAGTGTTCGGTATGGAGTCAATGAGCTCCTTGATAACTTTTATGATCATGATACCTAGAGAACGTGTCCTTTGACATTATGGAATACCCGAGATCATCATCATACGATGCTCCAACCAGGGGCAGTATTGAAAAGTTATCCATGGAGGGCAGATAGCTGATATATTCCAAATGAAAACCAGCGTCAGACAACTCTGTTTACTCTCACCTTTCCTCTTTCTTCTCGTTGTTGACTCGATTATGAATACCTTCGCACCTAAGGAAAAGCGAGGAATATAGTAAGAAGCTTGGATATTGCTAAGCGATTTTGACTTCACAGATGATCTGGCTTTTTTTATCTCATAATCAGCAACAAATATAGGCGGAGACAGACAGTAGAGAAATAAATACCAAAACAGTTCTGTTGTAAGGAAATGGAACTTGAAGAACTTCTACTGGTACTGAAATAGTAAATTGTCGCCTACGTGAGATATTTTAGATCCATTAGCTAGATAACATCATCAACAACCAGCTTCCAAATAAAGAGGAAATCAACAAAAGACGCTTGACGTGGATAAGACACATTGAGTAAATAATCAAACTGTATCGAAAAGCAAGCCTTAATTTAAAATCCTCAAGAAATAAAGAAAAGAGGCAGACAAAGAATACACTTTTTTGGAATTGGGGGGCAGACTGTTGGGTATGTTAGGTCCCCAGAACTCGCTGGATAAATATCTTTATTTTGGATTTATTTCACGGACTGATTAGTTGAGCTTGAAATCACATTTTCCACCAGGAAAATCCTTGGCTTGATTGGTTACTGTGTGTTATTTTTATGACTGTCCCAAGGACGTCTCTATGGAGTATAAATAAACGCGATTTGTTTGCTTGGATGTATTGTGTGTTTGCTGGGTGTTTGTAGACTACTTTTTCTACGCTACATCAAGACTTCTTGTTTGTGCAATTAGGACAATGGGATCACAGTAGCCTACCTGGACGATGGTTCATTGTTTTGTTCTCGTAATTCGACTAAGGTGAACCAGTAAAAGTTTTAAGCATACCTAGAAACGAGCATAACACAGACAGTAGACGGAAGAATAGCACTTGATAACAAATGGAAAGGCAAGCCGAAGACAGAAATGTCTGAAGATCTTCAGTCGATGGCCTAGACCTTAAGAAGAGTAGTATATAAAAGTAAGTATGAATATGAACCTTTAAGAAGAAACAACTGAGGATAGCACATGAGTAGAATTTCCTGAAATTGAAGATTTATTACTTGCTTTGTGTAATATTTGAAATCGCCAACTGATTGAGTAAAGTTCAGATGAGAAGCAATAAATAATAAACTTTGTTTAAAATGGTGAAAAAGTATTACTTAACAAATTCATGAATAGGGGGTCATTAAGACAGGAGAAGATTGAGGATATTCTTTTCTGGATACATAAATTTTGTTTGGATCTTTTGTACCAACGGCTTAAGTAAATCATAGTGAGTTCTATGTCCTTTGTTCTTGAATCACTTCGATGAAATTTGAAGTCTCATCGTTAAGTCCAACGATCTGAGCTACAGTCGTTTCCTTGTTCTATCATTAAATAATTACATATCAAATTTATATTATATTGATCGAGAAATACACACTCGAAAATAACAGAACACAATTGATTATGATCAATAGAAGATTGACTGTAACGGAGTCAAAATCACTATATAGATGTTGCTAACCCATCCTGTTTTCTTTCTATTTCAGGGCGATCAAACACTAACGCTTTAGAAGCAGAAGAACAAGCCCTGAATGCTCTGAGCTTACAGGAGGACTCATAAGACCTTGGCATACCGCCCACTCTATTTCTGTAGAAACCCCGCGTGTTTAATTTTTAAAAATAAAGATTGCCTTGGCGACGACTTCGCGTTCTCTCTCTTGGTGTGAAGTGTTGAGATAACTCTGTGTGTTGCGATTTTAGATCGGACCCGCTGTTTGGTGACTACTGTAAACGCGTGTTACATAACCATATATACGCTGTTACTTTGTAAAACGTTTACAAATATTACTAGAACTTACATTATTCCAAATTCGAAAACAAATAAAAGAATGTAGTGCATCGAAGCATTGAAACAATTTGTTAGAAGCCCTATTACCAATGGAATATAAACACGGTTCTAAAATTAACAATAGATCATAAAATCGAACTTAGATTTAGGAAGATATTTCTATTTTTATAAATATAACTGGAAAAAAGCAAAGCAGATCTTCGTATAATTGTGCGAAGTGAAGAAATATAATATTTAATCTATGCATTGAAAGGAAAATAGCGTTCATAATTGATTGTTAGTTTCTGTTATCATTTAACGTGAAGATAATCAACATCGAGAAATGGTTCAAACTGCAAATCCATTCGAAATTAGTGAAAATGAACCTTTCATTGAATTCCAAACTAGTATTTTGAAAACAGTGTGACTTGCTTAAAGTCTTAAAGATTATCAATACTCATTCCTGAAAAGTTTCCTTTTAGGATAGAGCAAGTGAAAATCCTACGATTTCAGATGATGATTAATTTAGTTGGCCAACCATCTAAACTATCTTAAATTACATTTATTATTCAAAAATCACTGTGTCTAAATTGTCTTTATTAACAAAAGTCATCGAGGATCATTTTACCCTTATTCGTCATAATGATATATCGAAATATTCTTATCCTGTCATTTTCTTAGAATTATTTTGACGTGCATATATTACTAGGGTCATTTCAGTGAATCGTTGTAGCACTACAAGTATTACAAAGGATATTTATTTTGATCAACTAATCTTATTAATTTTATATCGACTGATCCTGTAATATGTAAAAATTATGATTACAAAATGGGTTCAAATTACTGATAAGAAAAAGTTTAATTTGGCAACTTTCAATTAAACTCTTTCACCTAGGTAATTTAAATCGAATTTGTAATTATGATTTTGGATATTACAGGTTGTAAGCAGCTGACGAGAAATAAGCGAAATAAAATGAACTGAACTTATTCTAATCAAATCTTTGCTCCTGGTTTCTTCGAAACGATAAAGGGACGTGTATTTTCTTGTTACAGCAATTTTGAAAATAATAATATGTGATTGTTGGTTGATTTTTATAGTTCACGCTAAAGACCGACTGTAGATAGACAACCAAAAAGCACCTGACATTTATTTTTTTCTAATGAGAGACTCTTCAGCATTACACGTAGACTACCCATCAACAGATCAAAATTACTGCTTTCAGGACTCAAATCAAGTGTTTAATCTTCAGACAAATGGGTTTCATACTTAGATACAGCTATTTGTATAGACATTATCTAATTTCACTGACTGAATACTACCTTACTCTCTGCAAAGTTAAAATCTACGCTTTTTATTGGAACTGGGGAAACTATCTCTTCTAATCGGACATTAGTGCGTGTATGTCCGTTAATTGCGTAAGCCTCTTGAACGATTTGAAACATAATGCAAACTTTGATTTTATCATACTTTTCTAACTTCATACTTATATAAGAATACAAAGCCACTTCACTGAAAATCATAAATGCAACTAACGTGATGGTCACTATATTGCGGAAGCTTTGAGAGTTCACATCACGGATAGTATTGTGATGGATAGTGCCCACTTCTCACTGTTGGGTATTGAGAAACGGTTAAATATCTTGAAAGGAAATCACCATGTTACGAACTGTCTATTCATCTCAATTATTCAATCAAATCAAATTTTCCTAATCTAAAACATCTACGGTATATTCAGTGTTCATAATGATCGAAATTTCTCTTATTTACTTGCAATTAAGCAATCATTTAATATTATTGAAAATGAAGTTGAACTTACTTGCGTTTGAATGTACTTTGTTAAAATTTGACCTATTGCGGCAAACTGAAAGAAAGAGTCAAGATAAATTTGTTAATTATGTATTAATTATAGAAACAAATTTTAAATATTTATTTTACCAAAACTTACATACAATCCTGGCATCATAAATAATAAATATTCAGATGCCTTCCTGTAATACAATTTAAAAAAAAGGAA